CTGACCAACCTGGAAGATGGCACCCAAGTCTAAACCCAACAGCCATTCGTTTCTGTTTCATAAACACTGTGCCTGGAGGGAACGAGAGGCGCCGCTTCCACAAAAACCATGTTCGGCATGGAACAAAACGTGTGTACGCATTGAATCACTCCAAAAGACACGTGCCACGGCCTTAGGGCCATCTTTGGGGACAATATCGATCAGGACTGGCCAAACTTCAGCCCTCCGGGTGTTTTGGACTTCAACTCCCACCATTCCTAACAGTCTCAGGACCCTTCCTTTTCGGCTAGCGTTCGCCCGGAGAGAACGGCGCGTTTGGCGTCCTTTTCCTCTGTCTCTTCTGTCTTGCCGATCTTTGCTTTCGCTTTGCGCCCTTCCTTCCTTCCTTCCTTCCTTCCTTCCTTCCTTCCTTCCTTCCTTCCTTCCTTCCTTCCTTCCTTCCTCCTTCCTTCCTTCCTTCCTGCCTTCCTTCCTTCCTTCCTTCCTTCCTTTCCTCTTTCCTTCCTTCTTTCCTTCTTCCTTCCTTCCCTTCTCTTTCTCCTTCCTTCCTTCCTTTCCCTTTTCCTTCCTTCCTTTCTTTTTTCTTTTCCTTCTTTTCTTCTTCCTTCCTTTCCTTCTTCTTCCTTTCCTCCTTCCTTTCCTTTTCCCTTTCTTCCTCCTTCCTTCCTTCTTTTCTTTCTTTCTTTCTTTCCTTCTTCCTTCCTTCCTTCCTTCCTTCCTTCCTTCCTTCCTTCCTTCCTTCTTCCTTCCTTCCTTCCTTCCTTCCCTTCTTTCTTTCTTGGATAATAAGGAGGGATCAAGGGAAAACCTACCAAACATTAAATTACGTTATTATTTTAAAAATTAAGCACCAAGACATCATGTTTTACAACAAATCAACAGAAAAGGCAGTTCAATACACATGTAGTAATTACTGTATTTATGAATCCAGCAACAAAACATTGCAACGTAGTGAAACAGCAGTAGATCTGGGCAGGAGCCAGACTGCGTTGGATAATACAAAATGTTGGATCAGCGAAGGTTGGATAAGCGAGACCCTTCCATATCTCCACGCCCCCTTTGAAGTTAGAATCTCTGTGAGGTCACTTCCTTTTAAAAGGTATTTTTATTGCTCTGTACTTGGCCAAGTGACCATTCGCCACCATTGCTTCCTTCTGCCTTTTCTTCCCATCTGTATCCCTAGTAATGTTTGATTTTGTAGAATGGCAACAAAGGGTTGTTGGGCCCAGACACCTGAGCAAAAGGGAAATAGCATTACAGGATAGGTGAAAAAGAGCAGAGCAAAGTTTCTCAAAGAGATATCGAGTCTTTATTTTGAATTTTCCTTTGAATTCTTTGATATTCCTTTGAAAAAAAATTTCTTGGAGCATTTTTTTTATTTTTGGAAGCTGAAAACTATGGAGAGAAAGCTTATGCTAGCTCTGTGATTCTCAACCTTCCTAATGTTATGACCCCTTAATAGAGTTCCTCTTGTTGTGGTGGCCCCCAACCATAAAATTATTTTTGTTGCTACTTCATAACTGTCATTCTTGCTACTGCTATGAATCATGATGCAAATATCTGATATGCAGGATGTATTTTCATTCACTGGACCAAATTTGGCACAATTGCCCGGTACGTCCACATCTGAATACTGATGGGAGTTGTAGTTGCTTGGATTTATAGTTCGTCTACAATCAGAGAGCATTCTGAACTCCATGAATGATGGAATTGAACCAAACTTGGCACACAGAACTCCCATGACCAACAGAAAATACTGGAAGTGCTTGGTGGTCATTGTCATTGAGTTTTAGAGTTGTAGTTCACCTACATCCAGAGAGCACTGTGGACTCAAATAATGATGGATTCAGACCAAACTTGGCAGAAATACTCAAGATGCCCAAATATGAACACTGGTGGAATTTTGGGGAAAAGATACCTTAACATTTGGGAATTGTAGTTGCTGGGATTTATAGTTCACCTACGATCAAAGAGCATTCTAAACCCAACCAATGATAAAATTAAGCCAAACTTCCCACACAGAACCCCCATGACCAACAGAAAATACTGTGTTTTCTGATGGCCTTTGGTGACCCCTCTGACACCCTCTTTGCGACCCCCCACCCCCGGGGTCCCAACCCCCAGGTTGAGAAACACTTCTTTACAGGATAGGTGCAAAGGAGCAGAGAAAGGTTTCTCAAAGAGATTTTGAGTCTTGATTTTGAATTTTCCTTTGAATTTTTAAAAATATTCTTTGGAACTTTGGTTTTTTGAATTTTTTTGGAGCATTTTTATTATTTTTGGAAGCTGAGAACTATGGAGAGAAAGCTTATCCTAGCTCACCACAGGTAAGTTTCTGCTGGCTATGAAGTTTGCTTCTGATATTCTGCTATATTTATGGTGGAATCACCCCAATTGAGAGTTATTTTTGAGCCTAACAGCTAAGATTCCACAACACAATGTTACATTGTGAAGGCAACAAACTTGTGTGGTGCTGCTCTAGAAACTGGGACATGTAGTAATGTATTCAAACAGCAGGGAAAGAGAATCCACCTAAGCACGAGAAAGAACTTCCTGAAGGGAAAAACAGTTTGGCAGTGAGACATGCTGACACAGAGTGTGGTTTTAGTAGAATCATAGAAACATAGAATCATAGAGTTGGAAGAGACCTTGTGGGCCATCTAGTCCAACCCCCTGCCAAGAAACAGGAAAATTGCATTCAAAGTACCCCCGACAGATGGCCATCCAGCCTCTATTTAAAAGCTTCCAAAGAAGGAACCTCCACCACACCCCGGGGCAGAGAGTTCCACTGCTGAACAGCTCTCACAGTCAGGAAGTTCAGATGGAATCTCCTTTCTTATAGTTTGAAGCCATTGTTTCACGTCCTAGTCTCCAGGGCAGCAGAAAAACAAGCTTGCTCCCTCCTCATTACTTCTTCTCACATATTTACACATGGCTATCATGTCTCCTCTCAGCCTTCTCTTCTTCAGGCTAAACATGCCCAGCTCTTTAAGCCGCTCTTCATAGGGCTTGTTCTCCAGACCCTTGATCATTTTAGTTGCCCTTCTCTGGACACATTCCAGCTTGTCAATATCTCTCTTGAATTGTGGTGCCCAGAATTGGACACAATATAGTATAATAGTAGAGGCTGAGTGGCCATCTGTCAGGGGTGCTTTGTTTGTGTGTTCTTATATGGCAGAGGCCCTTGGAGTCTCTTCCAATTTTATGATTGTGTACATCTATTCTCTCTCTGAGCGCTTTTGTGGGTTTTCTGCCACTCCTGTCCTTGCTTTCGAAATCCTTCTTCACACAGAGCTCCAACCAGATGCCTGGAATCAACAGGAACCTCAGAGGAGCCCCAACTGGGCCTGATGAAGCCGGGAAGATTGCTTTCCCTGCTTTCCCCGGGGAGGATAAAGTCCTTGTCTTGTCTTCCAAGCTCTGCAAGGGCAGCCCCCTCCCCGTCCAAAGTCTGAACAAGGAAGAAGAGGCTATCTCGGGCCATCTTTAGAGAAGAGGATTGCTTCTGGAGCCTGATTGCCAATAAGTTACTAATAAATCGTTTTAGAGAGGATTTCAAGGCATTTTCTTGGGTCATTGAATGGAGAATCCAGGGCAGGCGGGGGACAAGGTGGGATGGGAAGGGCAGGGAGGGTTGATCAAGATGTCAAGGGTTGAAGGGGGGTTTTGCCTCTAGATCAGGCCTGGGCAAACTTGGGCCCTCCAGGTGTTTTGGACTTCAGCTCCCACAATTCCTGGCCTCGGGCCCTTTCCTTTCCCTCCTCAGGGGCCTGAGATCAGGAATTGTGGGAGTTGAAATTCAAAACATCCAAAGACCCAAAGTTTCACTATGTCTGCTCGACATCCACAAAAATCTACAAAGGAGGGCAAACAGCAATATTTGTACAATGTATTTGGAAGGGTTCAGTCTTTTGTCTCCAAGCAGCAAGGTCCAACTGATCCAAGTGGGACTTACATTTGAGTAAACAAACATGCAAAAGAAATACAACTGGCTTGAATTGCAAGACTTCTGTGTGTTGTCGAAGCCTTTCATGGCTGGAATCACTGGGTTGCTGTGAGTTTACCAGGCTGCATGGCCATGTTCCAGAAGCATTCTCTCCTGATGTTTTGCCCAGATCTACGGGAGGCATCCTCAGAGATATGAGGTCTGTTGGAAACTAGGAAAAGTAGGGTTTATATATTTGTCCAAGTTGGAGAAAAAAAAACTCATCTGACTGAGGCAGGTGTGAATGGTGCAATTGATCACCTTGATTAATTGCCTTGCAGATTCAAAGCCTGGCTGCTTCTCACCTGTGGGAATCCTTTGTTGGGAGGTGTTAGATGGCCTTGATTGTTTCATAACTGGAATTCCCCTGTTTTCAGAGTCTTGTTCTTTATTTACTCCCAACAAAGGATTCCCTCAGGCAGGAAAGAACCAGGCTTTGAATCCACAAGGCCACTAAAGGCTAATCAAGGTGATCAATTGCACCGTTCACACCTGCCTCAGACAGACAGGAGTTTTTTCTCACAACTTGGATCTTCCACAGGTATATCAACCTCACTTTTTCTAGTTTCCAACAGCCCTCAGACCTTTGAGGATGCCTGCCATAAAGGTAAAGGTGTGGTGCTCATCCTAAGCTGAAGAGCCGGCATTGTCCATAGACACCTCCAAGGTCATGTGGCCATGGAGTGCCATTACCTTCCCGCCACAGCAGTACTTATTGATCTACTCACATTTGCATGTTTTCGAACTGCTAGGTTGGCAGAAGGTAGGGCTGACAGCAGAAGCTCACGCCACTCCCTGGATTCGAATCTGTGACCTTTCAGTCAGCAAATTCAGCAGCTCAGTGTTTTAACCCACTGCACCACCAGGGGCTCCATGCCTGCCATAGATGTAGGCAAAACATCAGGAGAGAATGCTTCCAGAACATGGCCAGACAGCCCGGAAAACTCACAGCACCTCAGCTAGACTTCTGTTCTCTTGGCTATTAATCCATGGAAAAGATTACGAGAGATGTTGGTTGGGGTGGAGGGAAGAAACGTTTATTTTGAAATACATTTCGACAAACAATACTTTCACTCCCAGATCTGTTTTCTTTTACCAATGTGCATTTGGTAAGACAAGAGGAAGCAAGCACGTGATACCACAGTTTCTTCTGTACAGAGCTCGAAAATGAGCCGCACTTTTATTATCTACAAGGAATCGTCTGCTCTCTCTCCCTCGGAGAAGGCCTGGGGCCCTTGTTCCTTCCTCTGCCCCTCCATCTCACAGAGGAAGCCTTGGCGGATGCCAGGAGGGCAGAGAGGGCTGGGCCCCTGGCACACATTGGCCCCAAAGCGCCCAGATTTCCCCACAGTCCAAGTCCTGGAGCCAGAGTGAGCTCCCAGCAGAGGTCCTTGGCTGTTCTAGAAGTCCTGGCGCGGGGTGTGGGTTAGACTGTGCCTCCGCAGATCACAGTTTCGCCTGAACACTTTGCCGCACTGCTCACAGTTGTAGGGCTTGATGTCTGTATGGGTGAGAAGGTGAGTTTTCAGGTTACTTCTTTGATTAAAGGTTCTTCCACATGTGGGGCATTTGTGTGGAGATTCCTGTTCAGATTTGAAGCAAGCAAAGGATTAAACCCTTTCACAAACTCCCTGGATAAACTATTGATTACTTTGCAATTGTATTGTATAGCTTTGTGACTCGTTCCCCCTTCCCTCTCTCTCATGTGTGTATGTACACACACTGATTTTAGACCAGACATAGGCAAACTTGGGCCCTCCAGATGTTTTGGACTTCAACTCCCAAAATTCCCAGGCTGTTTGGAATTGTGGGAGTTGAAGTCCAAAACATCTGGAGGGTCAAAGTCTACCCATAACTGCTTTAGACTTTATACTTCTTCCAGGACACACTATTTTGGTTCGTTTTATAGTAAAGTGCCATGTACACTGGATGACACTATCGAAATAAATAATTTACTCATTAACCTCCCTCCCCATTTCTGGCCTCACTACATTGAACAAGAAGAACATCACAACAGTGTATGGAGAATAAAGCAACACAACCCGAAGAATGAACTGAAAACTAACTTCTGTGTAAATCAATAAAACTCTTACTTTCCTGAAAATGAATGTTTTCTCTGTACAATTGTTTGACTTCTGAAACACATGGAGTTAGCCTGCATACCTATTTATTTCTATGTGTTGTCAAAGGCTTTCATGGCCGGAATCACTGGGTTGCTGTGAGTTTTCCAGGCTGTATGGCCATGTTCCAGAAGCATTCTCTCCTGACATTTCATCCACATCTATGGCAGGCATCCTCAGAGGTTGTGAGATCTGTTGGGAACTAGGTAAGTGAGGTTTATATATCTGTAGAATGTCCAAGGTGGGAGAAAGAACTCTTGTCTGTTTGAGGCAAGTATGAATGTTGCAACTGATGATCTTGATTACCATTGAATAGCTAATTGAATAACTAATGATCGGAGTGAGCTCCTGACCATTAATAGTCTAGCTTGCTGTTGACCTATGCAGCCCGAAAGACAGTTGCATCTGTCAAGTAGGAAATTTAGATACCGCTTTCTGCAGGAAGGCTAATTTAACTAATTTATGACACCATAAAACCTTCCAGCAGCCAGAAGTACTCCATCAAGGACTCAGTTTCACAAGTGGACAGTGAAGCGGCAGCTCCCCAGTGGCTGAAATCGAGCATACCCTCATGAAGCCAGAAAGCCGGAATATTAAATTGCCTCTGTGTCTGTCTATATATGTTGTACGTCTAATGGCATTGAATGTTTGCCATGTATTTGTGCATTATAATCTGACCTGAATCCTCTGCGGGGTGAGAAGGGTGGAATATAAATACTGCAAATAAATAAATAAAGCCTGGCTGCTTCCTGCCTGAGGGAATCCTGACCCCATGTGTTTCAGAAGTAAAACAATGTGTCCAGCATATCACTTCCCAACAAAGGATTCCCCCAGGCAGGAAGCAGCCAGGCTTTGAAACTACAAGGCTATTCAATCCTAACCAAGATTGTCAAATGCAACACTTGTTTCAAACAGACAAGAGTTCCTTCTCCCACCCTGGACATCCCACAGATATATAAACCTCACTTGCCTGGTTTCCAACAAAACTCACAACCTCTGAGGATGCCTGCCATAGATGTGGGTGAAATGTCAGGAGAGAATGCTTCTGGAACATGGCCATTCAGCCCAGAAAACTCACAGCAACCCATTTATTTATAGTTTGATATTAAGGATGGTTGACCCTCAAAACAAGTCCTAGAAACTTCAGTAGGATTTACTCCCTAGTAAATGTATACAGAATTGCAGATAGTGAATCCTGGACGGGCATCCCAGCACATATGCGGCCCAGTCACGCCTATTTCCTTGGAAGTAAGTGCTATCCAGACGTGGTCATCATAAATAGTGATTGCAGCCCTAAAATCCTTTCTCATTCGGCATGTTTACTGGGCGATCTTCTGCCAGTCACTTATCACTTTAGCTAACCTTAGAATTGCAGCCTTATTTTACTGAGCTCAGCAAATGCGTTTAAGATCCAGGTGCAGGTCACATTATCTGGGGTCGGGTATTTTACAGGCGGATTGTATGGATGTTTAGTCGGATGTCAGTCCAACTGAATTCCCTAGGATATACTCCCTAGTAAGTATACTTAAGATTACAGACTTAACTACATGGATATATCTTCTTGCCTGTCAAGGTCAGTCCTTCTCACTTCATCACATTTCCCCATCTCTGGGATCTACACAAAAATGCCTCTTGCTAATCTTCCCGGCTTCCGAGGGATACTTGTTTCATCTCTATCAGCAAAAAGCTTTCCACAAAGCTAGACTTTTTAACCTAAGCTTTTCAGAAAGCCTGTGCATATCATGTAGTCACTTGTAGGCTGCTTCAAATGTGCCAAACTTCTCAATAAATCTTTTCCCAGCTATGGGACGTGCAAGACTTAAATGCACCCATACAGCTAGACTCAATGTGTATTTTCTCAAAATACTGCTTTCAAAGGTATTTACTCACAAGTAATTATTTGCAGGATTGTAGTTTGAAATACTTTGTGCACAATTATTAGTTGATTTATATGGCAGAAATGGGTTAAACCCTTGTGCCAGCAGGACTGCTGACCAGGTCAGTGGTTTGAATCTGTGGAGCGGGGTGAGCTTCCATCTGTCAGTTCCAGCTCATCTATTAGTTGATTTATATGGCAGAAATGGGTTAAACTCTTGTGCTGGCAGGACTGCTGACCAAAAGGTCAGAGGTTTGAATCTGGGGAGCGGGGTGAGCTCCCATCTGTCAGCTCCATCTTCTCATGCGGGGACATAGAGAAGCCTCCCATAGTGGTAAAGCATTTGGGAGTCCCCTAAGCAATGTCCTTGCAGATGGCCAATTCTCTCACACAGGATGGTATAACATCCAGGCGTCCCCTGGGCAACGTCCTTGCAGACAGCCAATTCTCTCACACCAGAAGTGACTTGCAGTTTCTCAAGTCGTTCCTGACACGAAAGAAATGGCAGAAATATGTAATAAAAGATGCTGGATAACTGAAAGAAGAGTCCACTTCCTTGTTATTTTCCAAATATTGACGTGTAGAAAAGGTCTTTGGATTTAGTAACACACAACCACACATTGAACACATGTTGCCATCCCTTATTTATCCTACTAGTTTTAACCAACTAGTTTTAACCAATTAGAAAAAGAATAAGACCAAAATAAGGGGTTGGAAGTGATAGGATCTAATCTTACCTGCATGTGTAAGGTTTTATGAACTGCTAGAGTCCTGGACTGGCAAAATCCTTTCCCACATTCCTGACATTTGAATGGTTTCTCTTTGGAATGGATATACCTGGAAGCCAAGAGAAGCAGTTTGGAATCAGTCTCTGTAGACGCAGCAAAAAGTCACAACAACCAGCTGCCTCTCCTGTAGTTCAAGTCTCTGAAAACAATATTATTCTAAGCCACCGCCCTCTTTCTCTTCCTGCGCTTTTCAAACACTTGACAGTAATTCTTCTCTGTGTTTCATTGCCCTTATCGGATATCAAATGAAGGGCACAATACGAAACACACATTACTGGGAAAGCAAGATTCACTGCACAGAGTGGAGCTTACTTCACAGTTAAAATATGCAGACTTGTTTACAAGTTTATAACCCTATGGCAATAATCAAAACTCAATATGGTGGAACTTACTTCAATTATATATATATTCATATAACTGATCCCTGGCCTAGTTAATGTCAGTAGGAATTTTGCTATTAACTGAATAAATTCAGCACGATTGGGCACACAGATAGATAGATAGATAGATAGATAGATAGATAGATAGATAGATAGATAGATAGATAGATAGATGCTTTAATGTGGTGTTTCTCAACCTGGGGTTCGAGACCCCTGGGGGGGTCACAAGTGGGTGTCGGAGGGGTCACCAAAGACCTTCAGAAAATACAATATTTTCTCTTGGTCATGGGGGTTCTGTGTGGGAAGTTTATCCCAATTCTATCATTGGCAGAGTTCAGAATGCTCTTTGATTGTAAGTGGACTATACATTCCAGCAACTACAATTCCCAAATGTCAAGGTCGATTTCCCCCAAACTCTACCAGTGTTCACATTTGGGCATATTTAGTATTCGTGCCAAATTTGGTCCAGATCTATCGCTGTTTGAGTCTACAAGTTTGGTCTCTGGATGTAGGTGAACTACAACTCCAAAACTCAAGGTCAATGCCCACCAAACCCTTCCAGTATTTTCTGTTGGTCATGGGAGTTCTGTGTGCCAAGATTGGTTCAATTCCATCATTGGTGGAGTTCAGAATGCTCTTTGATAGTAAGTCAATTGTAAATCCTAGCAACTACAACTCCCAAATGACAAAATCAATCCTTCCCAACCTCACCAGTATTCAAATTTGGGCATATCGGGTATTTGTGCCAAATTTGGTCCAGTGAATGAAAATACACCCTGCATATCAGATATTTGCATTATGATTCATAACAGTAGGAAAATTAGAGTTATGAAGTAACAACGAAAATAATTTTATGGTTGGGGGTCACCATAACAAAACAAAACAAAACATAACAAGAGGAACTGTATTAAGGTGTCACGGCATTCGGAAGGTGATTAACACTGCTTTAATGGAAAGAGAAGAGATCAAATAATGTTTGGACACTCCTCAAGTGAGAAAAAGAAAAAGGGGTTACATGCACAAATCTGTAACCAAAATGTACTGTAAATATCTGTTTGGCGTGTACAACCGTCTTATTAGCATGAGGAAGTATTCCTTCATGGCCTCTTTTCTCCCAGTTTCCCACCTCTTTCCATTTTGAGCCACAATTGCCAAGTTACAAATTTGCTGAAGTTATCTGCTGTTTCCTAACTAGATTTCTAACAAGTAGATAAGAAAGAGATGCAGATAAGAAGAGTCAGTATACTGCAGTGGTTGGATTACTTGGACTAAGACTTTGGGAGGCCAGGGTTCAATCCCCACTCAGCTATGGAAACTCACTGGATGACCCTGGGGAAACCATCTTTCTCTGAGTCTCAAAGGAAGGCAATGGAAACCCCTCTCTGAATAAATCATGGCCATGAAAAACTCTATGACAGGTGGCCATAAGACTTTAAGGCACAGAACAAACATATTTCCAGTACAGGGGCAAAGAAAAGCCTGCCATCACCAGGGGTATTTATAAAGTTATACCTAAGCTTAAAAAGGGAAACGCAGACAATTTGTTAAGAGTGGTTCAAAGAAGCACCTGTAAAGCTCTTGTAAGTCTGCGCTGAAGTTCAGAAAAAACCTTTAATCCAAGGCAAGAAAGTCCCCCAAAAAGAGCACCTGACACTGTCCTTCCGAATGCCGTGACACCTTAATACAATCCCTCCCTGTCTTTCATTTGGACCTACTATAATGGAAAGGGTGTCAAAGCTTGATAGTTTGCCTTCTGACCAGTGGCATCTTTGCCACTCAAATGAAAACACAACTAACAACAATTTAAACTTCACACTCCTTTAGAAATAAATTCAGTTCAATCATTGCTGCTCCTGTGCGCTTCTCAAACTATTTCTAATCCTCTAGGAAATCTATCATGAAGGGAATCATTTGCCTTTTCCTGGGGTTCAGATCTATCAATAGCGAGGATATTATTATTATTATTATTATTATTATTATTATTATTATTATTATTTGATACATAACAAGATTAGTAAACAGCAAACAAGGTCACTATGCCGGCTTTTGTATTTGATCACACGTCGGACACTTCCCAAGAGTCTAGGACTCTGTGATGTATTGGCTAATAATGTGTGCCGATCCATGTACGGTGGCCTTTTGCAGCTGACAGATGGTAGTTTTATCAGCGCCAATTGTTTTTAAGTGCAGGCCAAGATCTTTAGGCACTGCAACCTTATTATTATTATTATTATTATTATTATTGAAATAGGTAAAATTATAGGACTAAACATCATCCCAGGTGCTAGGTTAGCATTACTAATGGATGCCACAAAGTTGAATTTAGAAATGAAAAAGAAAGAATTGGTGATTATTTTACTCACAGTGGGGAGACTTATAATTGTAAGGAATTGGAAGATAGTAATCAGTCTCATGCTGGTAGCACGGTATGGGGAGGTATGGAACATAGACTTAAATTTATTTTAATTTTTGTTTTGTTTTGTCAGGAGCGACTTGAGAAACTGCAGGTTGCTTCTGGTGTGAAAGAATTGGACATCTGCAAGGACGTTGCCCAGGGGACGCCCAGATGTTTTGATGTTTTACCACCTTTGTGGGTGGCTTCTCTCATGTCCCCACATGGAGAGCTGAAGCTGACAGAGGGAGCTCATCCATGTTCTCCCCGGACAAGGGTTTAACTCACTGCGCCACCGGGGGCTCCTGTAGCCTTAAATGATAAACTATCAATGGAAATGAGGGTGTTCAGGGGGGAAACTAATTGATCAGATTTCTATTCATATTGGTCGGTTTGTACTAAATATGGTGTAGAGAGTGAAAAGGGAAAACAATACAACCTTGTTGATCAGAAAATTTGGATAAGGCAGTTGTTTATTGGTTGACTCATACATTTATGGCAACGGAAATTATACTTGTTCGGGCCTTGGCGGTGGGGTTATATGTAAGAAGTTCATTGTTTTGTGTTCTGTTTACACTGTAAGTCGCTAATGTGCGTAAACAAAATGTATATTTAAATATTATTATTACTATTATTACTATTATACTCTGCTTTCCTCTCTTAAATGACACTCAAAGCTTCTACCAAACATTGTGGCTTTAAGTGCTCTTCCTACAATGGGGCTTTAAAGGCTTTCCTTACAATGAAAAGTAGGCCAAAGTAGGGTGCATTATTCTTCCTTATTGCACCCAAAACAGGGATGGAGAGAAGGGCCAGGTGGAATCTTTAGAGTGGCCCCTGAACCACAATCGTGTTGGACTTATTTATTGAGGACTGCAAAGTCAAAGCTCCCTGACCGGCATGGTGGCCACAAGCAAACCGGGAGATGTGGGGAGATGTCCTCTCAAAAGAGACCACCCTTCCCAGCTCTGTTGAGGGTCCTGAGTAAATTTACACTGTTGAATTCATATCCCCTGGACTCTGGAACTCCCTTCTCAGGGAGGCTAAAACCTTCTTATTCAGGCAGAGGTAGAAAGAAGAAAGTTTTAAGAGTGAAGCAAAGAGGTGCTGTGTGGTGTTTTAATCATGTTTACAGTTTTAATGGCTTTAGATTATTGAGAATCATAGAGTTGGAAGAGATCTCATGGGCCATCCAGTCCAATCCCCTGCCAAGAAGCAGGAAAATCACATTCAAAGCATCCCTGACAGATGACCATCCAGCCTCTGCTTAAAACGCTCCAAAGAAGGAGTCTCCACCACACTCCAGGGCAGAGAGTTCCACTGCTGAACAGCTATTACAGTTAGGAAGTTCTTACTCGTGTTCAGGTGGAATCTCCTCTCCTGTAGTTTGAAGCCATTGCTCCGCGTTTTAAATAATTGTTTTAATTATATGATGTTAATTATATTTTAAAGTCTATATATTTTAAATTATATCTGCACATTCTTTAAAAGAAGAAAGTAGGATATTATTATAATTATTAGTAATAATGAATGTGGACACCACTTTGACTGCAATGGCTCAATGCTGTGGTGGAAAACTGGGATTTGTTGTTTGTTGAGGTCCCGGCACTCTTTAGGCAGAGAAGGCTAAAGAGCTTATAAAACTTCCCAATTCCATTGTTTGGGGCCATGGCAGTGAAAGTGGTATAAAGGGCATTGATTCTATAATGTATATGACCCCCCCCCCCCAGGTTTCTTTTAGAGGACAGACCTCACCTGGAATACTGTGTCCAATTCTGTACCAAAATAATCAAATATTCTTTATTAACACCTTATAATTCTGAGATCCAATACTGCTGTTTTATGTACAACAATTGCTGTATTTTATTGTTTTTTTTTACAAGGGCGTACTGTGAATTTAGGATGTTGTGTTGACTGCTTATTGTCTATGTTTTGCTTTGCACTTGTGCATGTCACACCTTGAGTGTTCTGTGAGTCCCTCTAGGAGATGGAGGTGAGACAAAAATTAAAGATTATTATTATTATTATTATTATTATTATTATTATTATTATTATTATTAGAAACACAACAAGGTGAGTCCACAGCAGAKAAGATCACTCTGCTGGCTGTTGCATTGGATCACACGTTTGATACATTGCTATTATACAATTGTACAACTGGTTACAATTGTTATCCAAAACATCTTCAGGGTACCATTTGGAAAAAGACCATATATTGTGGATGATCACTTCATAGTGTTCTGATTAATTAGATATCCTACATAGCTATAAAGCAGATAATATTTTGATCGTGAGTTTGATAAAGGCTATTATTATTATTATTATTATTAGGATGCCAAGCCTGAGGAGAAGTGGCTGAGGGAGCTGGGTTTGTTTAGCTTGGAGATAAGAAGGCTGAAGAAGGGTTCATGACAGCCAAGATTAAATATATTAAAGGATGTTACCATGGGGGGGGGGGGGCAAGCCTGCTTCTTGATGTTCTAAGGAAAAGAGATTCCACCTAAACATTAGGAACAATTTCCTCAGAGTAAGAGCTGTTCTGCAGAGAAATATCCTGCTTCAGAGCAGGGTGGAGCCTCCTTCTTTGGAGGCTTTTAAGCAGAGGCTGGGTGGCCATTTGTTGGGAGGGCTTTGATAGTGTGTTCCTGCTTGGTAGGGGAGTTGGACTGGGTGGCCTTTGGGGGTATGTTCCTGTTCTAAGATTCTACAGTTCAAATTCATATCCTAGTTTTAAGATTCTATGCCAGGCATGGGCAAACTTGGACCTTCTACGTGTTTTGGACTCCCAACTCCCACCATTCCTAACTGCCTCAGGCCCTTTCCTTTTCCTCCTGCTTAAGGAATGGTGGGAGTTGGAGTCCAGAACACCTGGAGGACCCAAGTTTGCCCATGCCTGTTCTATGCTCTGGTTCCATGTGATGTTCTCTTCACTGGCCCTAAGCTTCCCTTCCATGCTTCTCTTCCCTGCTGCTCTGCCCAGGCCTGTTTTATTCTCTGGCTCCATGTGATGTTCTCTTCTCTAGCTCTAAGCTTCCCTTCCTTGCTTCCATGCCCATGGCAGTTCTATTCTCTGGTTCTATGTGATGTTCTCTAGCTCTAAGCTTCCCATTCATGCTTCCCTGCCCATGGAGGTTCTATTCTCCAGTTCCATGCTATGTTCTTTTCTCTGGCTCTGAACTTCTCTTCCCTGCTTCCCTGCCCATGCCTGTTCTATACTCTGTTTCCATGTGAAGTTCTCTTTTCTGGCCCTAAGCTTCTCTTCCTGCTTCTCTTCCCATGCCTGTCATATTCTCTGGTTCCATGTGATGTTCTCTTGGTTCTAAGCTTCTCTTCCCTGCTTCCTTGCCCATGCCTGTCCTATTCTCTGATTCCAAGTGATGTCCTCTCTGGCTCTAAGCTTCTCTTCCCTGGTTCCCTGCCCATGTCGGTTCTATTCTCTGGTTCCATGCTATGTTCTCTTCTCTGGCTCTAAGCTTCTCTTCCCTGCTTCTCTGCCCATGCCTGTCCTATTCTCTGGCTCCATGTGATATTCTCTTCTCTAGCTCTAAGCTTCTCTTCCCTGCATCTCTGCTGAGGGCTGTCCTATTCTCTGGTTCCATGTGATGTTCTCTTCTCTGGCTCTTCCCTTCCCTGCCCATGCCTGTCCTATTCTCTGGTTCCGTGTGATGTTCACTTCTCTGGCTCTAACCTTCCCTTCCCTGCCCATGCCTGTTCTATTCTCTGGCTCCATGTGATGTCCTCTTCTCTGGCCCTAAGCTTCTCTTCCCTGCTTCTTCACTCATGCCTGTCCTATTCTCTGGTTCCATATGATATTCTCTTCTCTAGCTCTGAGCTTATCTTCCCTACTTCCCTGCCCATACCTGTCCTATTTTCTATTTCCATGTGATGTCCTAGTCTCTAGCTCTAAACTTCTCTTCCCTGCTTCTCTGCCGAGGCCTGTACTATTCTCTGGTTCCATGTGATGTTTGTTTCTCTGGCTCTAACCTTCCCTTCCCTGCCTGTCCTATTCTCTGGTTCCCTGTCGCTTCTCTGGCTCTTCCCTCCCCTTCCCTGCCCATGCCTATCCTATTCTCTGGCTTCCTTCTCTGTTCCCTTCTCTGGCCCTAAGGTTGCCTTGTTTCTCTGACCTGTGGTCGCGGAGGTGGTCCTGCCTCCGGAAGGCCTTGTGGCAGATGTCGCAGGTGTAGGGCCGCTCGTCGGTGTGGGTGCGCTCGTGGATGAGCAGGTTGTAGGACTTGGTGAAGTGCCTCCCGCAGAACTTGCAGATGAACTCCTTCTTGGTCTTGGAGGGCAGCCTCCCGCGGGGCGCCGACGACGAGGACGACGAGGACGAGTGGGGGCCTTTCCTGTGGTGCGCGTGGGGCTGGTGGGGCGGCATCTCGGGGCCCGTCCCCACGCAGAGCTTTCCCCCGAGGCCGAGGGGCACGCCCAGCTTGGCCAGCGACAGCGAGTGCGGGTGGGCCTCGGGCAGCGGGTCCTCCTGGGTGGCGGCGGCGGCCAGGTTGGCGAAGTCAAAGCGGGGTCTCAGCCGCTCCTTGCGCAGGGACAGCGCCTGCTTGGGGTGCAAGAGGTGGGCGGCGAAGGGCAGCCCCGCCGGGAAGGGCAGCCCCCCTGCTGGCTCCCCCGGGGAGGACGAGGAGGAGGAGGCCGTGGCGGCGGCGGCGGCAGCGGCGGCGTAGCAGCCCAGCGTCCAGTGGTTGACCTGCATGGCGTGGACGGCGCGGAGCCCGTAGAGGCCCTGCTGGAGGTGGTCCGCCGGGAAGGCGTTGACGGCGTGCAGGAAGGAGTAGTTGCTCAGCTGCAGCGAGGGGTGCAAGGGCACCGGCGCAGGGAGGGCCTTGCTCCCCATGGCCACGCAGAAGGAGAGCCTGCAGGCAAGGGAGACACACAGGGGGCACCGTTAGACGCACCAAGGAAGACGTCGGGGGCATCTAGCCCAGCTAGTAGGCATGGTGGGCCTCCAAAACACCTGGAGAGCCCAAGGTGGCCCGTGCCCGCTTCACACTGAAGAATGAAGGCACTTTGGCATCCCTGGCTCAGCGCTTAGGGAGGCACCGCGAGAAAAAGGCCGAAGATTTCCTAAAACAAATGCCGCGATTCCCGAGCATTGATCCCCGGCCATTCAAGGGGTGCCAAACCGCATGAATGTTCTGGTGTGGGCGCGTGGGATTCCAGGTGCCATTCGGGAAAGTGCACGAAGGAAAAAAGCGGAGAATTCCTTCGCAACACGGGGAAACCAGTCACGGAGGATATCTTGCTTGCTAGCTAGCCTGTTTTTTCTTCCTTCCTTCTTTCTTTCCTCCCTCCTTCTTTCTTTCTTTCTTTCTTCTTTTCTTCCTTTTTTTTTCCTTCTTTCTTCCTTCCTCCTTCTTTTTCCTTTTTCCTTCTTTTTTCTTCTTCTTTCTTTCTTCTTCTCTTTCCTCCTTTCCTTTTTTTGTTCTTTCCTTTTCTCCTTCCTTCCTCCTTCTTTTCTCCTTCCTTCTTCTTTCCCTTTCCTTTCCTTCCTCCTTCCTTCCTCTTCCTTCCTTTTCTTCCTTCCTTCCTTCTTTCCTCCTTCCTTTATTCTTTTTTCCTTCCTTTATTTTCTTCTTTTGCTCATTTCCTTCCTTCCTTTCATCCTTCTTTCCTTTCCCTTTCCTTTCATTTCTTTTCCTTTCCTTCTTTCCTTCCTTCTTCCTTGCTTTCCTTCCTTCCTTCTTTCCTCCTTCCTTTCTTCTTTTTTCCTTCCTTTATTTTCTTCTTTTCCTCCTTTCCTTCCTTTTCCTTTCCCTTTTCCTTTCCTTTCTTCTTTCCTTCCCTCCTTCTCTTCCTTCCTTCCTTCCTTCCTTCCTTCTTTCTTTCCTCCTCCTCCTTTCTTTCTTCTTCTTTTCTCCTTTCTTCCTTCCTCCTCTTCTTCCTTCCTTCCTCCCTTCTTTCTTTCTTTCTTTCCTTCCTTCCTTCCTCCCTTGGTGAACCTTGCTTTACCTCCCAGGCTTCTCCTCTTTCCCAAGAACACCAAACCAAAGCCTTTCCCCACTCAAGGAATTGTTCTTGATCTGGGCTTTTTGCAACAGCGATTCGAATTTCGGATATTTACAGGAACCTTCCCCCTCGATCACCACCCTACACCCAGGCCTTTTCTCCTAAACACGCGTCCAACCCGATGTTCCACATTAGCAATCCCTGACTCGCAAACCAGGGACTAAAACCCGTCGAAATTCGTGTCTATTTACATTGTGATTTAGGGAAGAAACCTAGCACAGCTCGGTCGGTTGTCTTAGATTTTCAGCACCGGCCTTGAGCCTCGAAGTCTTTCTCTCTCCGAATCAAGCGAGGAATGAAGCGGAAATGCTTCCCCATTTCGGCTTCTGCTTTGCGGGGTTGGGTCCCAGCCTCCCTCCCTTCTAAATCGGGATCTTTGGCTTCCTTTTCTGGATTGCTTCCCACTCCCGAAGGGGTCGAGGAAAGCGCAAACTATCAAACCCACGCGTCGCCCCGATCCGAGAAGCCTGGGAAAGGGAAGACAAATATATCTATGCAAGGTGTCCATGGCATGGGCAAATTTCGGCCCTCCAAATGTTTTGGACTTCAACTCCCAGCATTCCCAACAGCCTCAGGCCCTTTCCTTTTCCCCCTCAGCTTAAGGGCGGGGGGGGGGGAAGGAAAGGGCCTGAGGCTGTTGGGAATGCTGGGAGTTGAAGTCCAAAACACTTGGGAGGGCCGAAGTTTGCCATCGGAAGGCGCTTTCCTTTGCGCGCTTCTGTGAGAGTTTATTGCTCGGCCGCTGCACTTTGACACCGGCTTCGAGCTGCATTCAATGTCAAGCGTAGATGAGTCCCCAGGAGTCGTGAGAAGGGTTCCCTGGGGTCTCTGCAAGCCCAGCTTTTGACCACAATCCCCTCGCCTTTCAGCCTACTCTCTTGCTGAACTTTGGGCTCTGTGTGGACCTTTCTCTCTCTCTCTCTCTTCCTCCCTTGGCACGGAATGAACCAAATCCGGAGTAAACAAGGTGAGGAAGCAGAGGAGGGCCCTGCTACCTGCCCCTAAATCGTTTCAAGGCCACATCTTTCCCTTTCAAGACATTAATCCACCCAGAAAGGAAGGCAACGGCCTAGTTTGCGCATGTAAACAAACCCCAAGGCCCAGTCTCTCTCTCTCCTTTTGAAAGGAAGAAGAAGAAAGGTGGAAAACATCTTGTTTTATTTCTCTTTGGAAAGGGATTTGGTTTGACTTTCCATCTCATTTCAGAGAGATGCAAAGCCATCTTTCTCTCGAAAAAAATGGAGCGTATATTATTCTTATTCTTATTATTGTTATTGTTATTATATATTATAATATTTATATATTATTATTATTATTATATTTTAAATACTTTACAACTGTACCCTTGATTAGCTCCTGATAAGATAAATAAATAAATAATATTATATTATTAATAATACTATAATATTATTATAATTATATATTTCATTATACAATAATATCATCGTATTATATGGACTGGTTGCTCTGACACGACAAATAAATAAATCGTATTATATTATAATATTTATATTTATAATATGTATATTATAAATTATAATTATAAAAAATAATAAAATATTATTATATTATATTATATTATATTATATTATATTATATTATAATATAATATTATAATAATTAGAATATTTATATTATATTAATATTATATAATATTTATATTATAATATGATATTCAATATATAATAATATGATATTATTATATATGGAAATATATAATTATTATAATAATAATATTATAGTATTATTAATAATATAATATTAATTATTTATTTATCTTATCAGGAGCTAATCAAGGGTAGGGTTGTAAAGTATTTAAAATATAATAATAATAATAATAATAATAATAATAATAATAATAATAAATTATCATCATCATCTCACAGCACAACAAAAAAAAACAACAACATTTTTCTTATGTCCTGGTTTTTAGGCCTGTTCCTGGGATTGTTAGGGGCGCTGATTCAGAAAAAATTGCAATGGCTAGATGGCATAAGCTCAGGTTTCTTAGATATTGGTTTGTTAACATGGTTTTCGATGGGACTGGCATGACACTTGTTCAGCATCTCGAAAACGAGATCTAGTAGGGGAAAACGGGTGCAACTTTTGGAATCAGCAGGACAAACATACCCAGAAACAGGTCTAACACTTGAGGCACCAAAAGGTGTGTTGGCCTATATTATTATTATCATAATCATTACCCACATTATTATCATCTCATAGTTCAACAGAAAAAACACATTTTTTTCTTGATGTCCTGGTTTTTAGGCCTGTTCTTGGGATTATTTGGGGCGCTGATTCAGAAATGCACTGGATAGATGGCATAAGCTTAAGTTTCTTAGATATTGGTTAGTTATGGTTTTTCGATGGGGCTGGTATTATGGTACATGTTCTGTATCTCCAAAACGCGATCTAGGAGGGGAAAACGGGTGCAATTTTTGGAATCAGCAGGCCAAACATGCCCAGAAACAGGTCTAACATTTGAGGCACCAAAAGGTGTGTTGGCCTATTATTATTATTATTATTATTATTATTAGATACATAACAAGATTCGTACACAGCAAACAAGATCACTATGCTGCTTTTTTATTTGATCACAAGTCGGAACTTCCCAAGTGTCTAGGACTGTGTGATGTATCGGCAAATAATGCGTGCAGTGGGGTGGCCTTTTGCAGCTGACAGATGGCGATTTTGTCAGTGCAGATTGTTTTTAAGTGCAGGCCAAGGTCTTTAGGCACTGTACCCAGTGTACCGATCACCACTAGGACCAACTTCACTGGCTTGTGCCAGAGTCTTTGCAGTTCGGTCTTTATTATTATTATTATTATTATTATTATTATTACAAGCACAACAAGATTAGTACAAAACAAAATAACTATGGTGGCTGTTGTGTCTGACACTTCCCAAGTGTCTAGGACTGTGTGATGTATTGGCGAATAATGCGTGCAGATCCGAATAATAATAATAATAATAATCGGATCTGCACGCTATTATTATTATATAATATTATTATAATAACATTATATTATAATTATGATAATATAATAATTATAATATTATTAATAATATTATTAATATAATAATAATAATAACAACAACAACAATAATACTCGGATATGCACGTTATTATTATTATTATTATTATTATTATTATTATTATTGCACCCATGTTTTGCTAGGGCAGGGAGTGAGCTCGGGAGAGGCCTGTTATGGTCAAGAGTTTTGCTCTTCCTAGTCAACCGGAACTATCAATTCCATCTCTATTTGAACTCATCAGCCCCCCTTTTCCTTCCCCGCAAATTAATATGTATTGACACACTAAAATCGTGGCGTCTAAACTGTAGAAAGGATGCAATTTGACACTTTAGCTGCCATAACTTAAAACTATGAGCTCCTGAGAGTTGTAGTTGGTGTAGGATCAGTCAGAGAAGGCGACAAAAGGTGTAATTATTTGATTCATGTACCTCCTTTTCTGCTCCCATTGCTTCTCGAACTTGATCTGGGTCCATACTAATATAAAATGCGGTTGTGAACTGATTTATATGGTTGTTGTGTGTTTTCTGGGCTGTATGACCATGTCCCATGTTCCGGAAAACTCATAACAACCCCGTGATTCCATGAAAGCCTTGGATCGACAATACATTGAATTATATGGGAAAACTTGGGCCCTCCAAGTGTTTTGGATTCCAACTCCCAACATTCCTGACAGCCTCAGGTTCTTTCCTTTCCCCTCTCAGCTGCTTAGCCCATGCCTGGTCTACACTGGCCAGATAAGTCGGTTTAATCGGCGTGAAGCGGCAGTAGATAGACCCAGCCTGGCTCTGGCATGTTTCCTGTCAAAAGGGAA